TTTTTTTTTTTTTTTTTTTTTTTTTTTTTTTTGTTACGCCCAGTCATTGTAGCTCTATTAGGGGGCCCCAATTTTGTCTAATCAAATGGCAGCTTATATATATTTTTCGTTGTTTTTCTTTGAAGGTGGGCGTTTCTTTGTGTGTGTGTGTGTGTGTGTGTGTGTGTTGTCATGCTCGCTATGCGCAACTCCACAGGAAAACTGTGTGCCCGCCCGCGCGCGCGCGCGCGTGTGTGTGTGTGTGTGTGTGTGTGTGTGTGTCCTGGTGCTTTTTAATTCCAGAACTATACTATAGGTATAGCAAATGTTTCTACTTTCGATGTTGTTAAAAAACAATCCTGGGTTTTTATGAATAAAAAAAATAAAAAATAAATATACTACGTACTTTTTTTTCAATGTTTCTTTTTTTGCATATCTGCATGTTAAACTGGCGGAAATTCTGCGCGCGGCGCGCGCGCCATTTTTGCGTGCAGATATGCAAAAAAACAAAAATCAAATTCCATGCAGACTACTATATTCACCATGAAGTAGCATGGAATTTGTTTTTTGTTTTCTTGAGTGTTTCATTTAATAAAATCATCATTTTTTGTTTTTTGTTTTTGGGCGGGGTCATCTCTCTTGTATACGCTAGTGAATAAAAAATCAACGTGCAAAAGAAGTCGCCTATCTGCCTTATATATACCCACTAACGAATCTAATCAATGTGCTTAAGAAGTCGCGCATCTGCCTTCTGTTCTGTCTCTCAGAATAAGGCGCCCCGCATTCTTTTGCAGATGGCAGAAGGCAAATCCACTCGCTCTGCTTATACGTATACCACCAGTACTTGGCCCAGCTATCGGCCAAGCTAGCGGGAAAAAAAAAAGAAGGAAAAAAAAGAAGTATAAGCGTTTCTAGTTGGATGAATTTGGCCCTTCCAGTAGTGGCCTGTACATTCTGCGTAAAAAATAGAGTAGAAGCCCGGACATTTTTAGATGATGGATGAATGAATTTGGCCGCTCCTGTAGTGGCCTGGACATTTTGTCCTAAAGTCGCGGCTTGTTTACGGGTGCAACTTTAGGAAGTACTGCCTGTTTGGCGGTTGTAAAAAAAAAAA